AGAGGAGTGTGGGAATGCATTGGAAGAGGGCAGAGAAGCATGAGAACATGTTGGAAGAGGGCAGAGTAGGTGTTAGGAGCTTATGTCAGTGTCATGGTCATGACACACAGCCCAAAATCCAGGGCCAACTCAGACAGACAACATTTGGAGAGGCAGCAGTCTTCCACACCATACTACCTAGACATGGCTGAAACAACACCAGAGGAGGAAGAGGAGGCCCCCTCATGTGTCACCACATGCAACATAATCTCCCACACCCCCCAACCACTACCCCAACTCAACCTCCCCCATCCCCACCCCCATCACAAACCCCCCACCAGGCAACACAATCCCCACCCCTCCCATGACCAATGTCTGAACACCATATACACAATAATACACTAACAAAATTACACATCTGGCAACAGAACCTCAATACCTCCCACATAGCCATGCACTCATTAATTAACAGCCCAATAGTGGATGAATGGGACATAATATCTCTACAAGAGCCACCAATTGACTAGATAGGCAACACATGAGCTAACACTCACTGGAGAGTGGCATACCTGACAACCAAAGCAAAACAAAATGCTAAGCCCCAAGCAGTAACATGAATCAACTCCTGAATAAGTACTAACACCTGGGAACAGGTTCCCTTCCTGTCCCCAGATGTTGTTGTAATCTGTATGAGAACCATGAGAGGCACCTTCATGCTCTTCAACATATACAATGACTGCAAGCATGATCACACTGCAGATGTGCTGAGTACATACCTTGCTGCCAACATTGAGGACCTACACCTGATGGAGAACAACCAGATATTGTGGCTGGGTGACTTCAATAGACATCACCCACTCTGGGACAAAGATTGCAATCACCACTTGTTCATGGCAACAGCCCTCACATCAGTGCAGAAACTACTCAAACTAATGGCAGACTAAGGAATGGTCCAAGCACTGCCCAAGGGGATACCCACTCTCCATTTGTCATCCTCCGGCAATTGGATGCACCCAGATAATGCTTTCTGTACAGAATCAGTGATGGAAGGAATTGTCAGCTGCAACACAAGCCCAGAAGAATGGGGACCCAACACCGACCACCTACTGGTTCTAACATACTTCAAAACAATGTTGATGCCATCCTCATCTCTCCATGCCCACAACTACTGCAAGGTAGATTGGAAAAAGTTCAACAAAGTGTTAAGAACCAAGCTCTCCAAGATTGGTCCCCTGGAGGAAATAGCCAGTGAACATGAGTTCCACAGGAAAGCAAGGGGAATTGAAAAAGCACTGCAGACTGCAGCACAAGCTATAGCAAAGGGAATGAAGCAAGCACTCCTCCTAAGGAGGATATCTGCAATGTCATGGGGCATACCTGCAAAGCTAATGTGTCAGCTCCACCAGACAGTAGGCATCCCGAAGATGATGTATGCAGCCCCAGTGTGGCTTCAACTGGCCTACTCCAGAAACCACTCCACCAGAATTAGAGGCTTGAAAGGTATAGCACAACATTTACTAACAATACAAAGAATAGCAGCCATAGTGGTGTGAGTCAAAGAGTGGTTCAGTGGTGGAAACCAACCAAAACCAACACAAAAGACAAAAAGAGTGAGTGGTGGTGTGCCTATGCAGTAACTAGATGGTAGAACCTCTTCTTTGGGAGGGTTTTTGCAGGCTACAACACTCAAAGATGAGTGCTGAGGGTTGGGGGTGCTCCTGACAAAGAGGGAGAAAGAATGCAATAGAATGTGATGGGGTAGACTGCTGTCAGCCTACAGAAGGATGGATGATGACTTAATTCAATGCCCTGAGCTGCACTGAGCTCAGGGAGGACTTGGAACAAAGTAGATTGATGACAGATGATAGTTAGACCCTTAATAAAGTCTCAACTATCACAGCTGATGAATGAATTACTGAGTGATGATGAAAAATGTGAGCAAGAGGGGCTCTCTGGCATCTTCTTCTTATTCAGCTATCTAAGTACAGTGATTTATATACAGTACAGGGGTGTTGCCTATGGAAAACAAGGTGCAAACACTTGGTAAGTGATTGGTAACTGATGAGTAAGGAATGTAAGTGATGGGTAATCATCTTAGAAAGCATTGGTAAGGATAAGTAAGCCAAAATGCAAAGAATCAGTAAGCAAGGCCAAAAGATTGGTAAGTATTGGCAATAGGTGAGTCAAGGATAGTCAGAATGTCAAAGTATGAGTCAAGTAATATCAGGAACTGGGAAAGCACACTGGAATCACATTAGGGGGAGGCTGTGCATGTCACATCTCAAAGAGATTGCTTCTAGGCCAAGGTGGGATGACAGAGAGGCAGTGCTGTTCTGATGCCAATATAGTACACCAAAAGCAGACAGGGTGAGTCAGATGTCAACAGGGGTATGTTGGAGATGGTGCATTCTGTGCATTACTCTTCATGGACATTTGTTCCCACAGTAGTGGTCTAACCCCCCAAACTACTGACACTGGTACCCCAGACCATATAGCTCAGTGGTTAGAGCACCTGGTTAACACCTAGGAGGTTGCTGGTTCAATCCCAGCTCTGGTTGCATTTTCATCAGGGTAAAGCTTTGGGGGCCTGTGGGGTGACAGGAGCATAGGGGATCACAACTTTCCCCCCCAAACCATCCTCTCAGTGAAGCAAATAAAAACTTCATGAATGAGGCTCTGTTGGAAGAGAGGATGAAGGGGGAGTGTCTTCTGCTGTATCTTGCAACAAGGAGGCAAGACATGCATCATACTTTTCATGGATGCAATCAGGGAGAGTGGAGAACAGTAGATTATACTGTAACTGTCACAGTTTTGGAAGAATGATGGATGAGACTGGAATGAAGACATTGCAGGGAGCTGGGAGGAAGGATCCATATGCTTCTTGGACTGGAGAGACTGAAACAACCACATAAGACCTTTCCAAGCAAATAACAGACCTGAGGCAACCAAAGAATGTCCTCCTGGAGGTCATACTGACAAAAAGAATGCACTGTCCAAGCTGGATGGGCTGAGAGGGACAGAAGCTGGTAGGAACTCCTGGTAGATATACATAGCCATGGTCCCTAGCAAAGGGGACAAGCAAAACAATTGATGTGGAGGCAGCCATATCAGAAGAATTAGCAAAATAAGCATCTTTTGGAGGGAGTGCTGTAGAAACATGTGAAGTGCACAGATCCTCTCCAATTTTGGAAGGTAGGATCACATGGCTGAGCACTACAAGCAAATGTGGGAATGGCTTCAGTATCTGCAGAAATGGAAGAGACATGTCAAAAACCAGAATGATGTACATGGGCACTTAGGAATTTTTATTGGCACTTAACTCACTTCCTTCTTTGTTTCTTTGGTATTGATGACTTGTTCTTGTGTGAGGGATGACTGCTGACATTTCTGGTTGTCCCTCTTCACATGAGGGCTATGGTCTTCATTTCCATTCATCAGCTATATCCATGTCCACCTCACCAAACACCTTTGGTGTGTGACAGCAGCTACAGGTGCCATGAAATCAACCCCCACTGACACATTGCTAGTACACACCGACATCCAACCAGCACCAATCATCATACAGAAAATGCTGTACAACCCATCACTCTGGCTCTTGTTGCTACCCAGCAAACACCTGTTCCATGCACTTGTTACAAAAATCAGCAAAACAAATGTTAAATGACACAAATTGTCCATCCACCATCTCTTGCATGACCTCAACATTGACCCACACCTCACAGAAACAATCCACTCTTTCCTGATCCCACCTCATGCACCCCCTGTGCACATTATCACCATAGCCCTGAACAAAAAAAGAGGTGGTCAAGGAATTTGAGGAGCTCAAAGATTGCACCCTTATATTCACAGATGGGTCAAGCACAGAAGATGGAGTAGGCATGGCTGCACTCCTCTATGAGCACTATCAACACATCACCACACTAAGATATCACCTAGGCAATGCATCACAACACACAGTATTCAAAGCTGAAGCGATGGCCCTACCATTAGCAGCACACCTCCTCAACACCAGAATGGAAGTCACATACCCAGCAACCATAACAGTCGACAATCAAGCAGTAATAAGATTGAGTGAGCAGTTGTCAGTGAGACCAGGCTACTACCTACTGTCATGTTCCAGATCAATGATCATCAAAGCCCTCAACAAAGAACAACTCTCAAGAAAAAATGTAACAATACAATGGATAGCAGGACACATGGACATTGAGGGAAAAAAGCTAGCAGACAGAGAGGCAAAAATAGCAGCAATGAGACCAGAGTTGGCCAGCCCTCTGGAGGATCTACCCCTGCTACTAAGGAAGAAGTTACCCCTCAGCATTTCCACTCTCAAGCAAACTCACAATGTGAAACTTAAGACCCTATGGGCCAAGACCTGGAAAAACTCACCCCAGTTCAACAGAACATCTGCCATAGATGCCCAACTGATCAATGCATCATTCACAAAGCTTACTGCCTCTCCCCAAGAGACAAATGAGCTTGTATATACAACTATGCACAGGACATATCCCCCTAAACAATCATCTCCACCACATAGGGCATAGTGACACACCTATGTGTCTGCAATGCAGTGAAACTAGCCAGGAAGACATACACCACTACCTGTTCCAGTGCACCACATACATCAGAGAGTGACATGTATTACAAAGAGCACTAGGAAGGGACACCATGTCTATGGCATACCTCCTCACCAACCCAAAAGCACAGCCACACCTCCTCAGATACATATCAGCCACCAAATGGCTACAAAAAACATTTGGTGAGATCCACAAACAAACTTAAATGTAGGATAACACAATGCACAGATAAGTGAACAGACAAAGACAGGAAAAAAGACATCAGATGCCTCAAGACCATGGGCATGCGCCAAAAAGCTCTCAGAAGTACCTATATATCCCACTTCACTGAACCCACTCGACAAACACATCCCACTCTCCCCATCTGACCGACTCACTAACACTGACATTAACCCTCACCATATCCAAAAACCCATGTTCCCCTAGCAAACTGCACAACCAGTTCCCATGTCCTGCAGATATCACACCATCAAGCATAGCACAAATGCCCAAGACAGACCCAAACACTTAGACAAAGAACTCATTATGCCTCACAAACTTGCCAGTCTCATGACTGCTGGGCCAATGTAGATAGATTTAAAATGGTCAGCAGATATCCTAAACCACCCTTACCACACCATCAGGGCATTCACTCACTGGTAAGGAATGGTAGGCCACAGGGGCCAAAACCAGCTTGTCAAACTATGCTAGAATAGTGCAACATAGGGTAGACATACCCTCATGCACTTAAATTCAGAATTTTTTTTTTTAAAAAAAGAGGGACTGCATCTATCGGACTGTGTCAACCCTGCTCTCATCAGTGACTGCCCTTAAGGGCTTGAGCAATTCATTTTTGATCTAGTAAGCCCATTCCTTTCTCTATAACTGGATACTGATGAACTCTTGTGGTTTTTCAGTCCTGAGGAAACCCACTTTCTGGGTCATGCAGATGGAATACCACTGTTCCAGATTTCAATTGGAATTCCACCCATATGTTTCCATTTTAATAGGTGTGTCATCCTTGATACTCATTACAACCACTTCTTTCCTGCATGCTTTTCCTTCATCCCCCTTATGTTGTGTCCTCTTTTTGTGGTTTCATATGTCCTTGCTGATGCTATGTCCAGAACTTTGCACACTGAGACAACATGTTCTAGATGGTTTTTTTTTTCCATGTGGTTCATCTTGGCTTGGCATGCACTGACCTTAAATACTCACCTTGCCTCCCCCATTTCTCAACACCCCCATACAACCATGCCCCACTCTGCTGATATCCCAGAGCCTTTGAGGGACTCTGTTGCCAACTTGATCACTCATGTTCTTCACAACTGAAGGATTCCATCCTCACAAAATGCCCCAGTTTCCAAACATTTAAAAAAAGGTGGTGCTGTTGTCTCTAACAATGGAGTGCAACACTCAGGGGTATGTCTTGTAGTATATTTCTCATCCATTACTCTAACATTGTTTTCCACTCACAGCAATCTACTCCAAAAGATATGATTGGCAAACTGAAACTGCAGCACACAGTCCACCCTCCTGAAGGCTGGGAAGAGCACATGTTTGGCCTGAGAGATAGAAGACACTCCTTGACACCTCATCCTTCCATCACCAACACTCCAATGCTCCCATCCCCTTCCCTGCAGCTGGACAACCAAATCCATGATGAGGACTCTGCAATGGAGGAGGTGGAGAAGAATCCCAACAACAATGAAAACAAGGATGACCAACTGTCCAGTAATGAGAATGAGGATGACCTGCTGTCTGGTAGTGAGAATGAGGATGACTGGCTTCCTGGTAGTAATGATGATGACAAGGGTTCTGATTACAATGAGAATGAGAATGATGACAAGGAGATGGAGAGCTTGAGCAACTCCCATGGTAGGTTTTTCCATTTTGTATCCCTCATTCTCTCTTTTTTTTTTCAGATAATTCTCATTTATTTTGATTTCAGGGTTTGGTGCCTCTCTGGTCATGCAATGGTGGGGTTGGTGCCCACTTGTTTTTCAAAGCTTGGTGCTTTGGATACTCATGACTGTTTCCTGCTGCCCATCATTCCCCTGGTTGTTATATAGATAAAGAATTGTTGTGATCCTGTTCTGTTACCATCTATATACACATCTGCCTTGTGTTGACATGTTGACTCTTAGATGATGATGATGATGCACACACTCACAATGCTCAGACTGTTTCTTGTGCCCAATCCCCACTTCCCCCATCCTTTCCACTTGTGTACAAGTCTGGTGACTCTGCCCATCCTGTAGGGGACATTGTCCATCCTTGCCAAGAAGGTGGCCTGATCTATACTAGACTTCAGAAGAAGGGTAAAGGTAGGGCAATAGATGCTGAGGACATTGATGCTGCAACAGTCACCATGACACCCAACTCCCAAACCTCAAGAAGCCAGGGAATCTGTCCACAGCAGTGTTAGACAAAATATGTGCTTTTGCGAAGGACATCAAGATGATGGTGGAAAAACTTGGCTGACAGCATGGGCAGTCTACATGTGACATACTCGTCACTGTGGGATTTAGTGTTAAGGCTTCTCATACAATTAATGAGGCCAACCTCTTCCACTTGTGGTATTGGGCCATGCAGCCCAAACCAGATGGTGGTATGGCTTTCCTCCCTCTCACATCTACCATTCTAACATCCTGACCAGCTGATTGAAATTCAATCAACAATTTGATTACAAAGAAGTACAACACCCTCATGAAAGGCATCCCCAAGGATGACTTTGCAGCAAGAAGGGAAAAGTAAAAAGCCATCTATGAGTGGAGTGAGAGCTCCTCCATTGTACCAACTAACCAATCATCAAATCTATTGCAGCTAGAGTGGACAATGCAAAGACACAATTTTCTGGATTGGTATGTGGTTGCAACTGTGCAGCCATCAATTCTCATTGTTCCACAGGCAGAGGCATGGTCCAATCTTGAGGATATTGTGATAGTTGGAGTGGTAATGTATGTTGCACAGGACCCTGCAGGATGTCAAACTTCTGGCATATTTGGAGGCTCTGAGATGATAAGAAACTTCATCAATGAAAATGGCACTGATGTCCAGTCACTCATGGATAAGTATACCATAATTTTCAAGTAAGTTTATTTCTTGCATGTTTTATTCAACCTCATTGGATTGTTGTAGGTGTCTCAGGAATGGCAACAGTGTGGATGCCAGGGTGGCTGGCACCAGTTCCATTGGAGATATGGGTTCTGCACTGGAACTATGTTGCCATACAAAGGAGACTCTGAGAGACTGCAACCACAGAGTATTCAAAAGCATGATGAAGGAGAAGATGTTGGCTGCATTGAGGGATCTGCATGGTAAGTTATTCTTGTGCTGTACATGCATTTATCTTGATCCTTTGCTCAGTCACACATGGCATTGAAGTCAGTGATCCCAGAAAGTTTCCTGGCACTGGCTTCTCAAGTTTTTGCAGAAGAGCCACCTCACTATTGTCAACTGGCCCCACAGTGTATCTCCACCAGGCCCTGGTTTTGAGTACAAGAAACTTAAGGCTGGTGCTCTTCATCAACTTGTAGTACCTTACCTTCAGAGAAAACTGGGTCTTTTGTATGATGGGCAAACCAATGATGAAGAAGAACAAGATAGTCTGGATGATGTGCTGGAAATTGAGATTAAGTGCTGGAACAAAGGTATTCCCTATTTTATTCATCCAGTTGGATGCTGAAGTTCTGTGTAGAGGTCATTGATATTTCAGATGCTGACCCTTTGAAGAGTGAGATTGCACTCATCAAAGCTACTGATGGTACTGTTTTGTGGCAGATCTCAGATGATCCAGAGTGGCAGAAGTCCCTCAAGGAAACAGATTGCTGGCAGCAAGACATGGAGGTCCTTTGACAGCCACAGCCACAACCACAGCAACAACTCCCTTTTCCCTCTTGGAAGCGACCTCATGTGGAGGCATTAAATCACAATACTATTGGTCCCCAGGTAAGTTCTGCACTGTACTCAACATCTGGTATATGCTGATGTTTGCAAGGCTTTACAGTCTGACTGTTGAACTGCACCACACAATCAACACTGGGATGTGCACCCCATTGCACAAGATTCATGTCATGACCCATCCACAATTCCACACCATGTGCACACTCAAGAGCCTGGCCCATCTGAGCCTCCTGCACCAGCTCCACAATATGGGGTAGGGTTTGGTTCCTATGGTCTGATAACAAGACTAATGAAGTGTTGTATAGGATCTACATCAGGATAATCTTCCATGCTGTCCTCAAATGCAAGAGGCTGGCCCAGTGCAGCAGTCTTTTCCCAGATGACAAGTGAGTATCCAGGTCTCTGACCTTTGGTAACAAGACTAAGGAAAAACTATGTAGAATTCTCAGGATGACTATAAGAACTATTGTGATCCTGGCCCATCTAATATCCCATATGATGTGAGTAATTCGATTTTGCAGAGGTTTCACTGTTGACTTGCATTCTCTCTAGGCATTACCTCCTGGCCACTGCAATCAATTTCTTCCATCTTGCCAAGGATTCCATCGCATTCCATCTCAAACCAACCATCCTCACTACAACAGTCCATATACTGATGACTACTACCCTCCAACCCAGTCAGGTGAACCTCATTGGGTTAATGGGGTAATGCTGCACAATATGAGCATGACTTTGCTGGGGAGTATATAAATGGAGATTACTACTAGTGTAGTTTTTGCTTCCCCTACAACATATTTGTCATGCACCACTTGTATATTGATGTTGCCATCAGATTTGGGGGACAAGTCTGCAGCTCTCCACTCAGTCCTGTGCCTTTCCTATTGCATTTTGGACCACTCATTCCCCTCGCTGAGACCTCTCTGGGGAGGCCTCTTTTGTCTAATTCCATGTAGCTGCTATTGAGATATCACCATTTGCATGTTTGGAGGGCAGTGAGACAGTTTCATGCATAGCTCAGGATCTGATGGTCTGATCATGGTGGCTCCTTTTTTTCCGTGTTTATCTATGAGTACCTGACCACCTTCCTGAGGCCTGGGTCAATCACCCCAGCCATTGTCCTGAGGTCCTCACCTGCTTGTTTGCTTGCCCAGAGTTACCCCTATCATCTTGGGGCTGTATCTTGCTGGTTTCTCTGATGCATCTCTCGCTTTTTTGCAGACTCACACTACTAGATGATGACTCCCTGGAGATGTCTAGATCATTGTGATTGGTGCAGTAGTTATGGAGATATTTGTGTTTTTGTCACAAGGCCCACCCCTTGAGGTTCTCCCATTGTACCTCATGCATATCTGCACTGCTTCTCTCGCTTTTCAAGCCACAAATCCCTCTCACTGACCCATTTCCAGGGTGCCCTTGTTCACCCAATTCTGCATGCTCATTGTTGAGATATTCCCACTTTTGTGTTTGAAGGGTTTTGAGGCAGTTTAGCATATACCTCAGGATTGGGTGATCCAATCAGTGTTTTCCCCCTTTCTCCCTGATTGCCTGGGAGTCCTCTACTGCATCCTGTAGCTTCATGTCAGTCACCCCAGCCATTACTGTTACATTTGAGTACTGGCCACTTATCAACTCTTTGTTAGGTGCAGTCCAGGGTCAAATCACATATGGTACCAATGTCCATCACATGTCCATTGCTGTTAGGCACTGTATGTGATGCCTCAATCTGTATATACAATTCCTGCAGTCCTAGCTACTGTGTTTGCACCTTGTTGCTCCTTGTGCTACAGCTATTTTCAAAACTGAGGGTAAGGCCAAATGAACAAAATCACATGTAGCAGCTAAATGTTATATCTTTGATATCTCAATCAATTCAAGTCAGATCACCACAATTTTTGCAGATTCAGAATCAGTGAAATTAGATGTACGTAGGTCCTGGTGTAAAAATTAGACTAGTTCTAGCACTATATAAGTCTGAAAAAGCATAGGCTGATTTCACATATACAATCAAAATTGCAAGTGATCTAGGCATCTGTACACCTGGATGATCAGGCCTATGAATCGATCCCATTCACTATTACTAGGCTTGATGAAGTGTGACCAAAGCTTTGATGAGCTTGGAGGTGCAAACCAAAGTGCAACTCAGATGGTTGAAGACTCCCCTTCCTCGCAGTACCTGACTACCTGCTCAAAGTAGTCTTGAAGGTCCTGTGGGTCTCCTGAGAACTCAAGCCTTGCTGAAGGGAAAATACAGCTGCACATAAGTACAAAGGACTCAAAGTGAGCTCAAAGGTCTATGATGCAATCCTGAAGGTTTTGATGACTCAGACAGTGAGTGTGAACAGCAAAAATGTGAGCTCAAAGCAGAAATACTCAAGTTGAAGGGCCAAAATGTGAACTCAAGCACTCAGGCGTACAGATTACCCAGATGCAATCCCAAAGGCTAGAATTCGACCAGTAACACTAAGACACAAATACTAGTGATGTAGATTTGAACCCAAAGCCCTGAAGAGCCAATCTATAGCTGGAGGCGACCAAGCATGACTGAAAAAACTGCAAAACAAGTGGGAGGGCTTCAGCACAACTAAAGATGACTGCTGGAGGCGAAAATGAGAGCACAAATAGCAGAGGTACAACCCTGGAAGACTGAGTGGTTCTTGAAGCTGAACACAGAAAACTGGTTCAATGGGGACATGAGTGGTTCGGAACTGTGCCAATGGGTGGGGAAAATGATGACAAGTGACTGGGGATGGTGACCTGCAGCAGTAAGATGCCAAAAACAAGCCAGAAACACTGCCAAGAGTAAAACTCTGGCAGCAGGAGGGGGTGAGGATGATTCTGGGGATAACATGCCAAAAAGTGACTTTGTGCAACCTCAAATGGGTGTGGGCAACTCCTATGGACTGAGAGTGAGTGCTGGTGACAATAAACAGCTTAAGGCAGCGGAAAAATGGTGGGAAAAGACCCAGGGTAGCTGAAGTGATGGTCCAAGTGGCTCAAAGGGGTCTCGAACGCAAAAAATGCGGTTTAACAGCAACTGGAATGGCACAAGGCAGATGAAAATGATGGGGAATGAGTGAGGTTGATGCAGAAGACCTTGTACGACCAAAATGCAAAGAGAAACAGCTTCAAACAGCCAAAAATGCGACTGGAGAGGGCTCTTGGGGGCAAGGGCACACAAATGTGGCCAGAAGTGCTGCGAATGGCTGGGCAGGGAGCCTACTGGCAGATTAGCGATTGAAGGCGATGAAACAGTGTGCTAGGAGTCTGAAAATGCGCTGGAAAAATGACTTCAAGAGGGTAAAATGTGACCTGAGGGGACTTTTGAAGGCAAAATGCCTAAAAGCAATTTGACAGGGGGTTCTAGAGGCTCAGAATGGCTGGATGGGAGTGAACAACGAACACAGGAGATGACATACAACTCCAGAGGGCCAAAAATGCGAAGTAAAGCCTGCCAAAAAGCGAAATCCAGGCAGGAGGAGGAGGAGGAGGAATGGATCCAAGCTAAGCAGAGCCCCTCACAGTGGGCTCCAGTTGTAAGTTAGTTCTGAGCTTATGTGAAGGAGTGACTGGAGTTGGTCAAAATGAATGGAGTGGGGAAATGAGCAAGTAAAGGCATCTGGAGGTCATCTGGGAGTGCCTCAATGAGGGCTTGTCACAGTCTTTCATTCGCAGTCTTTGATTTTGCTGTCTCACTGTCTGGTTCTCCTTCTTTTTTATGGTGTACTGTAGACATACACTGGTGCACAAAAATGCTGACTAAGCTACCAAAATGCGCCACACAGGCTAAGTATCACTAATGTAAATCAAAGCAAAAATACAGTAGAAAGGATAAAATAATTAAATCTCCTTAGTAGGGAGTACTTACAGTATTCCCAACACTGTGTTTCATTTCCCTGGTTCTGAATCTCCAAAAATCATGGTGATCTGACTTGAACTGATTGGTGCCATTGGTTGAGCCTGTTACAATGTGACAATATATATCCCAATTGTGGGCAGAGGGCAATGTAGAGGTCAGAGATACAGGGTAGGATGTCCCAATGTAGCCTGAGAGGCTGTGGTGGGACATCCTACTGGTTTCTGGAAAGGGGGTTGGGATGTCCCAACATAGTCTGAGAGGCCATTGTGGGACATCCCACTGGCTGCTGGAGGGGGGTGGGATGTCCCAATGTAGCCTTATGATGGAAATGTGACCAGAGCTGGGATTGAAGCAACCTCTTAGGTGTTAACCAGGTGCTCTGACTGCTCAGCTGTGTATATTGTCTAGGTGATAGCATCAGTAGCATGGGGCATGAATCAGTGATGTGGGAACAAATCTATGTGGAGTACAATGCACAGAATACACAATTTCCAACATGGTCCTTCAATCTGGGAATTTTTGGAGTGCAACAAGGGTGCATGCCTCCTATGGTCATGCAAATGGTCTGATAGCATTTTGGCCTTTTGTTATGTGGAGAGTGGTGTGGGATGTCCCAACTTAGCCTTAGGGGCTGCTGTGGGACATCCCACTGCTGGCCAGATAGTGGGGAGGGATGTCCCAATATAGGCTTAGGGGCTGTTGTGGGACATCCCACTGGTTGGCAAAGGGGAGGGTGGGATGTCCCAATGTAGCCTTAGAGGCTGTTGTGGGACATCCCACTGCTTGCCAGAGGGGGGCAGGGATGTCCCAAAGTGGCCTTATGAGGAAAATGTGCCCAGTCCTAAGATTGAAACAGTGACCTCCTAGGTGTTTACCAGGTGCTGCAACCACTGAGCCATATGGTCTGGGTACTTAGCTTGGGGACTTAGACTAGCACTGTGGGAACAAATCTCCATGAAGTTAATGCACAGAATGCACCATCTCCAATGTGGTTGTGGTCCCTTCATCTGGCCACTTTTGGAGTGTAAAAACAGTGCACACCCCCTAGGGTCATCAAATGGTCTGATTGCCTTTTGACCTTGTGTCATGTGATGGATCGGGATTTACTTCAATGGCCTGCAATGCCACAGCATCTCAAATCACAAATCTTCCCACTGCTGGTCAGCTGCTTTAGCAATTCAGAGCTGTTGATTCAGTGGTTGTCTTCTGATTATGAAAGCAGAGGTGCTCTCCCCCCATTTGATTGTTTTCACTTTAGCTGGTATAACAGGTACACCACTAAGGTGATATCTTCATGCATAATCTCTACATCACACTTCTCACATGCACATGCAGGGTACAGGGGCTCCCAGTGATATGTCCACATAAAGCAATAATAAGCAACAGAAAGTGCTATATAGCTATATAATGCTAGGGAGCCTTTTCCTAATGTATTGGCAATAGGTGAGTCAAGGACAGTCAGAATTTCAAAGTATGAGTCAAGCATTGTCAGAAACTGAGTAAGCACACTGGAATTGCATTAGGGGGAGGCTGTGCATGTCACATCTTGAAGAAATCACTCCTAGGCCAAGGTGGGATGACAGAGATGCAGGACTGATCTGATACCAATATAGGACATCCAAAAGGGGAGGGCAGTTGTCAGATGTCAGAGTGGAGATATGTCAAAAACTGGAATGCCATACACAGGCCTTGCTTCTTTTGTTTCTCTTTGGCATTGATGACTCATTCTTGTGTGAAGGATGACTGCCAACATTCCTGGCTGTCATTCTACACATGAGGGCTATAGTCTTCATCTCCATTCATCAGCAGTATCCATGTCCATGTCACCAAACACCTTTGATGTGTGACAGCAT